CAATCAATCAATCAATCAATCAATCAATCAATCAATCAATCAACCAGTTAATCCATAATCAATCTTTTTTTTTTTTTGAATGGTGGGGGGTGGTACCCCCCGACACCCGACCCCCCCTCGACCCATCCAACCCCCCAACCCCCCCTCGGAAGGTCCTGTACGAGGGGCCCGATTCCCGTACGTACGGCCCGTACGGGGGTATAAGGGCACGTACGTACGGTCGTACATACTTTTGTACGGCCCGTATACGTATGGGCCTATACACTCTTCCGCTCCCGTCTGTTTTTCACTTTTTTAACCGTCCCTCATTCCACCTATAGTCCCGCGCCCTTTCATTGGCCCATCTCCGGTCGTCCTTGGAGAATTCTCGAAGAGGGTTCCCTACGACGGTTGCTATCAAAGCGACATTTGTCCACACCTCTGCCCGTCTATACTGTAAGATCTTTTCCAATCCTTCCGACGTCGCTTTCAGGAATCAAGCCTCCGTCGGAATCTTATCGGTACGACACAGATAGCAGAGTCACTGTTTCTGCGGATTTCTATAATGGATGCATGATCCATGGGCCCTGACTACGCACGTGGCGCACTCTACCCACTCGACGTACCCGTCATTTTTCGGCTTAACCGAAACGGAGTGGATGCGCGAGATAGACTCACACAGAAAACAAAAATGATCGGGGAGGGAGAATAGAGAAGAGGAAGAAGGAGAGAGAGGGCCTTCAGTGTTCTCTTCTCTCTGGGCCGCCATAAGGGCACGTGTCACTTCTTCGCCTGCCGAGGAAGAACCTTCACCTGGCCCTACCCGGGTCCCTTGGGCTGCTCCGGATCCTTCCATGGAGTGATCTCTTCGTTGCGTGGCACCTTGCCTGGTCGTTGCAGACGTGTCAATCCGTCGGCGTTCCCGTCAACAGAAAAAATTCCCAGAATTAAATAATCATTCTAGAGTAAAATTGCATTCTAAATTTCAAATTTTCATTCCATCTTAAAAAATGTCATTCTAATTTTAAAATTTTCCGTCTTACTTGAAAACTTTCCTTCCAAGAATGGGGTATCCCTTCTTATTTAAACTGCATGCTAGAGATGAAATGAAAGTCTGGATGAATTCATGAAATATTTTAATTGGACTGCCATTCTAAGTAAGGATTTTTAGTCATAAATAGGTTAATCCAATCTAAATTAGACGATATTTGTTGTAGTAGAATGAAAGTCCAATTAAAACATTTCATAAACTCGTCCAGACTTTCATTCCATCTTGAACGAATAAATGTAGTTGGAAGGGAAAACTCATATTTAGACGGAAACTTATCAAATTAAATTGAAAATTTTAGAATTGGACAAACATCGGAATGACAATATCGAAGTCATACTCCTGCAGCCTCACCATCCATCGCCCAATCATTCCCGTGTAGTTCGTCAGCTTCTTGAGGGCTAGCAATGGCTCGTGATCCATTACGAGGAGGAACTTCTGCGCGTAGAGATACAGGTGGAAATGTTGGATTCCCCAGACGACGGCGTAGCATTCTCCTTGTGGCGCCGAGGCATTCTTCCTTTCGTCTG